CAACAAGAATGTGTTCTGAGTCCACAAAACCAATGTCTCTGTAATCTACTTCCCATGTAGATTACAACCATGATTAGGGGGATCAAGTCATCCAGCATTTTTGCCCCAAAGACAGTGCTTTAAAGCAGGCATTTAGCATAGGCTATTCAAGCCAGAGACTAAAGGGGCTTTCCCAACATGATTTCGGGTGGCACGGAGCTATGTCTAGGTATTTCACACACTGATGGTGACTTGCACATCAAGTCTAAAACTCTAGTCTAGTGAGGGAAGATGAACTCTGGGTAATTATGTGCAATAGCTTGACTGCTAAGGAACAGGGTACTTAATGATCCATAAATGTCCTGCATGAGTGAGCATATTCAGTTGTCCAGTCATTAAAACACACAGCAGTGTTAATGTGGTTCCTCTATAGGGTCCATCAACTGGACAGAGAGTCAAGTCAGGGTGGATTTGATTTTCATCTCTTCCATTTACTCTTTATTTTGTTCCCCTTCCAAAGTTCATTGGCTGGAGTGGCAAGTATGGCTGGCAATAGACACCATTTCCCAATCTTTTCCTGCACATTGCAGGGAAAAGTAGAAATAATTTGCCTCTGCTCAATTTCCCAGGGCTACAAGAGAAGGGTGTGCATGCCAACAGTTAGCTGGAGGTTTAGAACGGTAAGGGACGGAGACGATCAAGGTTCTAAACATTACGAAGCCATTATTGTTCATCTCGCACTGTTCACAGCTGGCCTCAAAGTGATCTCAAGTTAGAAAAATCATTGCATATGACCATTTGAAGTCTAGAAACTTCCCAGTTTGCCTTAGAAGACTACAGGTGATCTAAAGAAAGCTTCCTGCGTGTAGGCCTCACCTTAGGACACCATGGGCTAAGGAAAAAAATACATTGTTGTATGAATGAACACCTGCATGGGAAAATGGATGTACTAACAGATGGAGAGAGGAAGCAGGTAGAAAGACAAGCAAATAGGTAGGAGGTAGGTAAACAGGCAGGCAGGAAAGTCATGGCCGTCCTGTTCATCCTTGCTCCTTCTATGTAAAACCAGGCAGCAACCAAGGAGAGCCAGGAGACCACTACAGTTGCTTCTTTCTACCATAAGCTTTTCTCCTGTCTGCTTTTTATACAGTTTTATGATTGCATTTATTTATCATCTATTTATTTGTGGGGAAGGGTACACATAGAGGTCAGAGGACAGTGTGCACATAGAGGTCAGAGGACAGTGTGCACATAGAGGTGAGAGGACAGTGTGAACATAGAGGTCAGAGGACAATGTGCACATAGAGGTCAGAGGACACTGTGTCCTTCCCAATATCCTACTACATCATTTCTTCTAAGTAGCCTAGATCTCTTTCTCTCTTACACTAATAAACAGGGTATAGTTGCCCCAACCTGATTTTCCACAAACTAGACTCCTCTTTACTCTCTCACACATTTCTGGACAGTGTCCTCCACAGTTCAACATTTGGACAGTCACCTCTTGTTCAGCGCTCATCCACTGCAACTCCTGTCTGGTCCTCCATTTCACTCCTGCTCAGATGTTTCCAGCACCTTCTCCATTCCAGACCCCAAGTTCTCCTCTTACTATGTGAATAGTTTGAGTGAAAATGGCCCCCACAGGCTCATAGAGAGTGGCAATATTAGGGAGTGTGGCCTTGTTGGAATAGGTGTGGCCTAGTTGGAAGAAGTATGTCACTATGGGGGCAGGCTTTGAGGTTTCAAAAGCTCAAGCCAGGCCCAATGTCACTCTCTCTTCCTGTTTTCTACCTATCTACCTCTCTACCTGTTTTCTACCTCTCCAGCACCATGTTTACCTATGTGCTATCATGCTTCCCACCATGATGAGAACGGACTAAACCTCTGAGCTATAAGCCAGACCCAGTTAAATGCTCTCCTTTCCAAGAGTTGCTGTGCTTCTAAGAGGTTACAGACACACTGTAACCTCTGACCCCTCCTAGCATCCCTAGAAACTTTATCTGCTATGACAGTTTATTTCATTTTTACTTCTCTTGATTCCTTGATTTCTTTTAATGTACTCAATAAATATTTTATTTTATTTTATTTTATTTTATTTTATTTTATTTTATTTTATTGTTTTTGAACTAGAGATACAGGGAACATAAAATGACCACTTTATTTTCAAGAGCCTAATGAGACAGATAGCAATACAGGCAAATCTATTAGCCAGTGAAATAGCATAAATGTGATCCTTCATTAATTCACAAGATAGTGAAAGCCTGGAGAGAGTTTAATCAGTAATAGTGCTTGCCACGCAAACATGAAGACCTGAGTTTGATGAATGCATCTATGTAAAATATAAGGTGTGGTGATGTGTGTTTGTAATCCCAGAACTTGGGAGAAAAATCCTGGGGCTCACTGGCCAGTCATCCTAGACTAATTAGCAGGCTCTTGGCATATATACATCCCCAGAGGAACCTGTGGCCTCTACACACTTTCATCCATACAAGCACACATTCAAATGTACATACATACACACACACACAAATAAATAAATAAATAAATAAATAAATAAATAAATAAATAAATAAATTCTACAGCTGTTAAATGTATACTAAAGAACAAGCTGGGGAGATGGGTCAGTAGATAAAGTATTTGCAGTGCAAAGATGAAGACCTGAGTTTTGATCCCAAGCACCTATGTAAAAGGAAAGGTTGATAGTATGAATCTATAACACAGAGTTCAATGATCCATCCTGGTGGGAGTACGGGAGATCAGAACACCAACAGAAATGTATTCTGTCCTGGATCATAAAGTTTCAGAAGAGAATAACAACTTTATTAGGATTTGAACTAGAAAGATATTCATACTATATTCTGGGCAAAAAAAAAAAATCTGGCTACATTGTGTCCATATCCTGAGAATCTGTGTGTCACTGTACGCAGCAGCAATATGAATCACTGTGACATCTCACTGTTCTCATCCAGGTTTACAGGGGAAGTGAGAGAAAAGATGGAAAACATCCGGCTAAGGGAGGAAAGTGGTGTAAACAAGGTACTAACAAGGAGGGTTCACACCAAGCATTCATAATCATTAAAGTAATGGACATGGTTAGAGAGGAACCTTTTAGTCTGTACTGGCACAACAGGAAAGGTGGTGCTTGGGGGCAAAAGTCCACCTATCAAGGACTCCAGCTTGCAAAAATGTAATTCGTTGACATCTCTTTTCAAGGAGAGAAGCTGAACTGAGAATGTCTCTGAATGAGTTCTCCGAAACAACCTCTTACAGAAAGGTTTTTCTAGGTTCCTTCACTAAAGCAAACAAGGGCCACTATACCTGTAGTAAAGGCTGCCTCACTGACAGAAGAACTCAGCAGCATTGTTCATGAGGCACTGGCTTTGTAGTCACAAAAAAATGCAAGTTACCAGATCACTGAGGTCATGTCAAGGTTCCAGAAAGCTGCCGAGGCCAAGCAGCATGGGACAGGATCAGAGTCCCAGCAACAAGATCCTGTAAGGCTACTGCATGAAACTGTGGTGGTGGTAATGTGTAATTGGCAGTGGAGATCCTGGGATCTCAGGAGTGCCAGGACTCTGGGATATGAACCGAGAGAAGCAGTGGGCACAAGTGGGGACAGCCCAGGACAGCAGCCTCGTGGCAGACCTGGGAGGGTAGCACTAATCAAGCGTGTGGGGACTGAGATCATACCACCAACATCCACAGATGCTTGGCTTGAAGCTATAAAATTCATCTTGTCCTGCTTGATTTTGGCTTTGTTTCAGTAAATATTTTCTTACTTTGCTCCGTGAGTAGAAACATTTACTCTGTGCCATTGTATATTGTAAGTACATGGGGTTTTTGTCGTTGTTGTTTTTTCACAAGGGTTCACAGTTGGGAGATTGCATCGAGTCTCACAGTAAACTTATGTCTTTGGAACATTATCAATACCATTAAAACTATTTTTCTGACTTCTGAAATTGGACTGAATATATTTTCCATCATGAGATGACCATAAGCTTTTGGAAGTCAGGGACAGAGTGTTTTAGAGATGTGTTTGGGATTCCAAGTTGACAGAGGTCATCAAATTGTCAATTTGATCAGATTTTAGAATTGTCTAGGACACACGTTTTTGAGAGCATTGATGAGGATATTTTCAGAGAGGTTAACTAAAGACGGAATCACCATCAATATGGGCCGAATGCCTAGGCTGAGTAAAAAGTGAGGAATGGATCAGGAAATCTGATGAGTATTATCATTTCTCTCTCAGCTAATTTTATAGTCATGTCCACATATCTTTCTTGCCATGATGTACTATGAGTTTCCAACCATTGACCCAAATAAATCTCTTTTAAAAACGTCTTGAGAGTCCATCTCACCCCTTTCAGAATGGCTATCATCAAGAAAACAAATGACAACAGATATTGTTAAGAATGTGGAGGAAGAGTAACACAGATTGCCAAAGTAAGTATAAACTTGGTAAGCGTCTATACAACTCACTCTGGGGTTCTTTAACATGCTAAAAATACATAACTCCAAAGTGGTCCACTATACACTCCTCACCATAACCCAGAGGGTCTATGGAAATAGCCCATAGAGACACATTAATATCCACACTTATTGAAACACTATTCACAATAGCTATGAAATGGAACCAGCCTAGATATACATCAGCACATGAATAGATATAGAAAATCTGATCTGCGTACATAATAGAATTTTCTGCAATAAAGAACAATGAACTCATGACATTTGCAGGAAAATGGATACAACTGGAGATCATTATGTTAAGCAAAATAAGCCAGCCTCAGAATGACAAATCCTGCCTGCTTCCTTTTATATACAGAATCCAGATTGAAATGAGTATCTGTGTGTACAATATGTGTACATGCACATGTGTAGATCATGAAAGTAGAGAGGTGACCAAGAGGGACAAAGAGATATTAAGAGATTCAGGAATCAGGAAAGACAAGGTGATAGAATACATATACATTAACTAGAAGGTGTGGGAATAGGGATTCAGCACAATGGTAGAGAACACTTACCTAGCAAGCCAAGCCCATGGCCCTGAGGTGGGTCCTCATCTCTGAAAGAAAAAGAAAATAGAAAGGGTAATTAATTCAGAAAAGGAAAGAAACCAAGAATAGCTCAGAGAGATAGGGGATGGTGATGAAGGAATACATACATACACACACACACACACACACACACACACACACACACACATATATATATATATATATATATATAGAGAGAGAGAGAGAGAGACAGAGAGAGACAGAGAGAGACAGAGACAGAGACAGAAAAGCAGAGAGACAGAATCAGAGAAAGAAACAGAGAGACAGAGAGAGAACAATGTTGTCTATATTTTTATCTTTCTTTAAGTGGATCTTTAACAAAAAAACAAGTGTAGAGAAAGTCAAAGCATAGGAGGAGGATGAGGGAGCCCTGGAGAAGGAAAGTGTATTAATTCCATTGGAATGATGCAGAGGACTTACTAAGAAAGAGACATGTGCCCAAAGACTTTAAGGAGGTGAGGGGATAAGCCACATAGGGACCAGAGGCCCAGCATTCCAGGTGGAAGGTGACGAGGCTTGAAGAAAATACTTATTCATAACATTCTAGAGACCAGTAACTGTAACAGGTGAGGCCAGTGAAGACAGAAGGCTAAACCATACAGCCTGCAGGCCACCCACAGACTTTGAGTTTTATTCTCAATGAGATGAGAAAGAAACAGGATCTGAGCTCTGTACTAGAAGTATCTCTTCCTGGTATGTCACAGAGACAGTGGACATGGGCAGAGAGGGCAGTCAGTAGGAGGGAAATCAGCACAGGCATGTAGGAAGGCCTTGTGATTGCTTGGGGCACAGAGTGTGGTAGAAGAGACACGGTGCTCAGAGTCAGGATACTTCTTCAAGGAAGAAATGACAGATTTAGGAAAAGATGGTAAATAGATCTCCAGAAGTGACAATGCCAAGAGATTCCAGAAACACATTCCACAGGAGAACATGTTTCTGGGGACAAGAAAGCCCAGTTCCATTGCTGCCTGCTAACTGCATGAGTCATGTAGTCCTGAGCTGACTTGAGTCCCTGTTCCCAGTCCTCACACCTTCTGCCTTGATGATTCAAAAGAAGGCCCTCCTTTTGAGAAGCAGAGGGATGGGGAATACACTGAGAAGAAGAGTTTGAAACCAACCATATTTCTGTTTGGCCATTGTCAATGGCTGGCCTACACCATGCCTGATTCAAGGTGGGGATAGCAATTGCTTTTAATCAAATACATTACATATTCTATTAATCTACAAGCCTGGATATGCTAGTAGATGACCTCTTGTTAACTAAAAGTCAGAAATAAATATAACCATTTGCCCTATGTTTTAGTCTTTCATTCAGATGTAGAAAAAGAATACATCCATTATATAAGCATAGCTAGACTTGACACATACCTGTAATTCCAACTTGTCAGAAGGCTGAGGCAGGAGGATTGGAAGCTCAAGGTGAAGTGTTGTAGAATGAGTTTCAGACCAACCTGAGAAGCTGGTAAGACTCCCTCTCTCAAAATAAAAGATTTAAAAAAAAAATCTGAGGTTTGCCTAGCATGTGTAAAGCCCTGGCCTCTGTTCCCAGCAAGTAAATAAAAATGAGGCGAAATAGGAGGAAGATCCTTAAAAGATATTAAAAGAAAAAAGTAAAATTAAGCTATTTTGGTGTAGTAAAACCATGCATGTACAATGAAAGCACTTGTCTTGGGATGTCAAGGCAACAGTCAACAAATGTTCTGTATGGGAAAGCAGATAAATGAGGCTAGGTCATGTCAGGCTAGTTGGCGGTATATACTGCCAGCCCTAAGCAGAACTTACAGGGACCCTTGTTTTAGGGTCAAAAAAAAATTAAAGAAAAAGCATGTAGTTCACAGAAAAAGCTTGTTCAGTGGGCATGATAGCCCAGAACCACAGGACTCTGGAGGCTGGCAGAGAATGTTTCTGTACTTGAAACCAGCCCATGCTATATAGCCAGACCCTGATTCAAAAAAAGAGAAAAGAGAAAGCCATACAAAACCACTAGAAATTGGTTTTAAAAAAGGAGGGGTGTTGTTGCTTTTGTTGTTACTCAGTAGAAAGCCTTCAGTCTTGGGAAGAAGAAACCCTGGACTAAATTTATGGCTTGGGTAGAAAGTCCAGGAATAAAGATAATCCCTCACTTGACAGTCTTCTCTTGGCTGTTTTTTCCAGGCTGCTCACACCAAGCCTTGCTGTGTGATTTATTCGTGCCATAATGCACTAGTACAATTGCCTTTCTGATTATTATCTCCTACTTAAAGCTGAGTTGGCACTTTCATCCTGGGGCCTCGTTTCCAGCAGCTTATAAATTTTATGAACAAATTACTTTTTATTTATCAACCTCTTCTTCTGCCCAGCAGTGAATTTTTCTAAAGGGTTGACAGAGAATACACAAACACTACTTTTCAAATCAGAAATCCTAATGAAGAAAGCTACGATCCTTACAGGCAAAATTAAGCCAAGTTGTTTCTTTCTTTTAAATTATTGCATTATTTTTGAAATTTAAATATATATGTTTAATATATGAAAATAATGCAAAGCAAAATATACATGCTAGTCTTTCGAAATCAAAGTAATTCCTTAAAGGGGTTACGTTGTCAGAATCTCGCTTGTTCTGGTACATAGCTTCTATGCTGGAGTGTTACTGGACCGCATATAATTCCCTAGCCCCATCAAGTTATGCAAAAAGAAGCTGATAAGATCATCATGATTCCAAGAGTGACATTTGACTTACACAGGAGAAAAGGGCTGTCAAGGTCTGGATTGACAACATCTTCTCTCAGCATCACTGAACAAAGATGCTGAGCTCACCACGAGGAGGCAGGGATGATGAACATAAAAAAAAATGCTGTGGAAGAACGGGGCCAGTGATCACAGACCACTCTGTACATAACTGGAAATTTACATCTTTATCTTGTTTAATCTCCAAAGACTAAACAAGAATTACTGTCTTCAGCTTGCACAGAAAAACTCCAGAGTTCAGGAAAGCCAACCACTTTGCCCAAGTAGACATATAGCGTTTTAATTTTGGATAATGTTTTTAAGCCCCCTTATTTTTCCTATCAAAGTCTACTGCAATGTTTTTAAGAATCCTAAAAATAGACAGTTTCAAGGAGGTATAACAAGTTCTGAAGAGACTGGAAGACAAGGGTAGTCAGGAATTTAGGGAGTTGATGTCTATACGATGGTTTGAGAGGTTTAAAGAAAGGGCAGAGCCTCTCGGCCAGGAAACCCTGGCCTCCTCCTCCATCCTGCCTGTAGTCCACTCCCTGTGGTCATCTTTTTGACTACTTTCTAATGCCCAGTTCAACTCAAGAAGAAGACTGCCACTCTTTTTAAAAAGTAAACTGAGAAATATATTTTCCCTAGATATGTATAGTCAGTGCTATCCAAACCTCTTAGTAACTAGATAGCAAGCCAAAATTAACCCACAGCCAGAACTTTAAATTTAACAATTATCTAACACTTAAGAAAATTCAAAAATGGATGTCAGAGTCTGGATTTTTAAAAAAAAAAAATCACCTTTTCTTTAGCAAACTAGGGTAAAATATCATATTCTACAGGGCCAACAAAAAATAACAATAATTAATAAATTCCATAGACCTAAAGCAAGTAGCTCTGGGTCCTAAAAGAAGAAAACATTCTTAATGTGATAAAATGCAAATTTCAATGACAATAATATTGAAGAATTTTACTGTAAACAAACACCTGATCTGTCAATTCTGACTTAGAAACACATATTAAAAACAAAATTCCATTCTGCTTCTACTGGTTACATAAGATGGCTCTACTTTTCTTTCTTTCTTTCTTTCTTTCTTTCTTTCTTTCTTTCTTTCTTTCTTTCTTTTTTGTCATCTGCATGGAGGGCATATGGATGTTCATGGGAGAGCATATATGCTATGTTATGTATATGGTGGTATATGGTGTCATTGACAATGACAATGATGATGGTGGTGGTGATGGTGGTGATGGTGATGATGATGATGATGATCCTTTGCTCATATCAGAATCCATCTTCTTCGGCTTTACAATATGGAACGAAGACCAGGTGTTCCCCAGGAACTTTTCAGAACTTCAGCTGCAGACTGGCACTTCTGTGTTATCCATCCTCATGGACAGAACAGCTTCCAGACTCTCAGTCTCTCCAGTATGAAGTCTGCCGTTACTGAACCACCCAAACTGCATTGTGTTAGCTAATCAAATCCTTTCTCTACATATTTATCTACTCATCTGTTCCTCCAGAGGAACCTGACTAATACGATATCTGACATAAGGTAGACATGATATTCACCTCACTCTCCCCAACCTGTACACTTTGAATTCTTTAAGTCTGAAAAGAGAGAAAAGACAGACTGTTTCCCACCATGGGAACTGAAAATGTTAGTCCTTCATCATCACAAGGGCATATCTGTGAAGCATACGTTTCTTTGGGCAGAAAACCATATCAGACTCAGTCCAGAAAGCTCTCTCCCACTGAAAGTGCTGTCTTTCTTCATTTTGTTGTCTCTGTGTTTTTGCCTCTCTTCTCTATTCTTCCTCCCTTGTGAAGGCAGCAGCAGAACCTACAAGGCCAAGTTCGTGGTTCTGAAGCTTGAAAAGGCATCTCAGTTTAAATATTCATAAACCAGATACCTCTTAAGAAATTACCAAACAATATTAGGAAGTTGGAGACAAAACAAATAACCAGACCAAGAATGGACAAGGGACCTTACAGATATATCTCTGGAAAGAACATTATAATAGCCAAAGGAGACAGAAAATGTTCAGCCAGTCAATGAGATGAAAATTGCCATAGTGACAAATCACGTGACAGCTGTTAGAAAATGAATGTTAACAAGTATTAGCAAGTGTAAGGAGAAAAGAGCCTTGTACACTGTTAGTAGGAACACGGATTAGTACAGCCATCATGGAACACAGCATAGAGGATGTTCAGAAACTAAAAATACAGTGACCATTATGACCCACCCATTGAAATTCTGAGTTTTTCCAAAAGAATTACATCAACATTTTGAAGAAATACCTGCAT